TTTGTGTGTTCATTGATTGTAAATGCTAAAATCTTAAAAACAAACAAAAAACCACTGCCAAAAAAAGAGCAGGTTTGGGAGATGATATGCTCACTTTCAAACATGCTGATATTGAAAAACCTGGGGGACATGCAAGTGGAAATGTCTACCCAACAGGTCAGAGCTTCCCAACTGTTATGCCTCAAGAAGAGGTTACAGATGTGTTGCATATTGATCTTCTCAACTCTGAAGGCAGCATGAGCTCCCTCTGACAGGGAGCAGTCTCAGTTATGCTGGGTTGCTATGATGTGGAAGGGCTGGGAAGCATGATGTATACTAGTAATGCTGTTGGATAAATAATTCTGAAGCTCAGGAGAGAGATCTGGACTACAGACAGATAAGAGATTTTTGAGTCATCAAAACATAGGTGGTAACTGAAACCATGGGATGGAGGAAATTATGCAAGGAGAGAAGAGGGACTGGAACAGAACTCCAAGGACCAGTAATATTGGAGAGGGGTCTCCAAAGGAGGAGGAAGAAAACTGGGCGAGTGCTGTCACTAGAGCCCAAGAGGTTTCCACAAAAAGACCAAATGGTTCCCTGATATTGCTGATGTCAAGCTGGATCAGGACTGAGACATTACACTGACTTTAGCCACATGTCACTAGTTACTAGCAAAACCAGATTTTGAAGGGTTGAGAAAGATATGTAATATAAGGAATAAATACAATTATTTAAAACTCTTTCAATAATTTTGGATATGCTGTGAAGTAAAAGACAGATAGGTAGGTGGGGTAATGGGGGATGAGAGTTATTTTAGAAAGACACTGCTTAATTTTATTTTTAAAAATTATTTTAAATGTTATTTTTAAAAAGCATTGTGTGCATATGGTTAAAAAAATCAAATAATGCCAGGCCAGTGTGGCTCAGTGGTTGAGTGTTGACCTATGAAGCAAGAGGTCATAGTTTGATTCCTGGTCAGGGCACATGCCCAGGTTTCAGGCTCGATCCCCAGTGTGGGGTGTGCAGGAGATAGCCGATCAATGATTCTCTCTCATCACTGATGTTTCTCTCTCTCCCTCTCTGAAATCAATAAAAATATACCCAACATTTTAAAAAAATTAATAAAAATATATTTTAAAAAATCCAATAATATAGAAGCAGTTATTTGCTTCATTTCCCACTCCCAGCAATGCATTATTTTAACCTTTTGGCTGATGTTTCAATATGACTAAATATGCTTTTCTGCTATTCTTTTTCACTTTCAGATTTACTTTATTACCCAGGTGTATATTATTTTTTTTTTAAATGTTTTTGTTGATTTTAGAGAGAGGAAGGGAGAGGGAGAGAGACAGAAACATTGATCAGCTGCCTCCTGCCTGCCCCCTACTAGGGATGGAGCTCACAAGCTGGGTATGTGCCCTGACTGGGAATGGAACCATGACCTCCTGGTTCATAGGTCAATGCTCAACCTCTGAACCACACTGGCTGGGCCTCATTCCCAGGTCTGAACACATAACTTGAAGCAGCACAGTAACTCCAAAGCCCTTGCTCTTTTACCCTGGCTCTTCAGAGTCTCTTCTCAATCTTGATTTCTGTGACATCTCAAGGCCTAGCAGCCAAGGCCCAGATTCTGCAACAATATAACCAATGTTCAAAGCCCAACTCTTCCACACACCTAGTGTGACCTTAGGAAAGTCACCTAACCTTTGTGTTTCAGGTTCCCTATCTATAAAATGGGGATAATAGTACCTACCTCATAGGGTCATTTCAAGGATTACAATTTATGTTGTCTAGCATATGGTATTCTATTATTAGCTTTTTTTCTGATTTCTAACCAGACCTCTTTTAGTTCTTCCTATTTCAGCCCTCAGCCCTAGGACATAGTCCCCTCCTATCATATCCACTTATTTTAGTAATTTACTACTAATTAAATCTTAATCACTCTATATGAATGACTTCCAGATTTTTATATTTAGTCTTGATCTCCCAAAACATCAATAATTAACTTAAATAACAAGCACTTACTGTATTAAACAACGTAAGTTTAGGCACTGGATAAAGGACAAGACTAGGTCACTGAAGGTTTTTAAGAGAAAGAACACTGGCAGCAGGACAGGGGCTGGGGCTGGATTGGAGGGTACATGACAGAAACCCAGGTTGGTGTCAACCACATGGATGGAATAAATGGGACTTACATGTTATTGGCAGAATTTGTTGCACTTCGTGACTATTTCAATGTAGGGAGTATTAAGTGAGGAGAGTCAACTGAACTTTGTAGCTTGAGCAATGGAGGATGTCACCATTGAGATAGGATTAGGTTTAGAATGAGGGGAATGAGTTTGTATTTGGGATATGTTGAATTTGCAATGTCTTTGAAATATCTAGGGGATATGACTACATAACAGGAAAAACCTTCATCTGGAACTGGAGGTGGGGCTACCAATATATTTGGAGGTTATTACCATATAGGTAGGTGTTAAAGGAATGGGAGTGGAGGAACTCACACAGGAAAAATATGAAGACGACAGGATAGAACCCTAACTGTGGTCTCTGCTTACATCAGAATCATCTGGGATGATTGTTAAAAGAGATTCCTCATTGTGAATGTATTTAACGCCATGGAATTGTGCACTTAAAAATAGTTAAAATGGTTAAAATGGTAAATATGTATATTGTACCACAAAAAAAATGCAAAAAGCAAAGCAAACCAAAAAGATTCCTAAGTCCCATTCCAGACCAGAATCACTATGTTTTTGAAGATGAATCCTAGACTCACCAAGTAAAAGTGCAAATTAAAAGTTGAACCCAATGCCTAAGGGGTAGTGAAAAACTAAGAGAATAAAGGGAGGAAAGTATGGTGGAGAAACCAAGGGAGAGCAAGAGGTTCAAGAAGAAGGGGTCAATATTGTTCACTGGTGTCACTGCCCAGGAGGAAGACTGAAAAGAGGCTACAGATTTGGTATTCAGGTGGTTATTGATGAATGGGAAGTGAGGGAACAGAGGCTGTGGGGTCTGTTGTTTCAAAGATCTTGCTCACATTTGGGTGGTGATGATATGGGAGAAAAGCTTGCATAAGTTTAGGGAGGATATAAGACACAGGAAAAATTGGTGGTTTTGAAAATGAGAGAGAATTGAATATGTTGGTAGGTGGATAGGAGTCAATAAGGCCAAGGAAACACCAAAGGGATCCTCTACAAAGCATAATTCGGGAGAAGTAGTACAGGTTGGGATCAAGAATTTAGGCAGAGATTATTTGGTAATTACTGGGTAAGTTTAGAAGTGAAAAGGAGGCAAGATGAAGAAGTTCAATACTAAGGTTAAGAAAAGACTTCCTGACACAACAAACAAGAATGACATTAGTTGGTGGTTAAACTATTTGCTTAGATTAATGGAGCAGGGATAGAGTCAGGAGCCTGTAGAAGGGTCAAAGTCTGAAGTCACTAGGATAAAAGTGACCAGGAGCAGCAATATAAAAAGTTTGAAAAACAGTACTGGAATGTAATTGAGATTGGAAATGGCACAAACCAACACAATTAGCTGAAAATAGAAAATTGTTTTTTCTAAATGGTTTTAGTTCCACCCTCTTGTTGTGTAGGGACAGCAGTGGCCTCCGCTTCCTTAGCAGGAGCTTTTACCTAACTTCTCAGTCAATAGGTCCAACGTCAAACAGATGGTTCAGACTCTCTTGTTCCCTGCTCTTCTTTAAATTAAAAAAATAACAATATCTTAGAAATTTTGAAGTTCATTAATGCAATCTCCCTTCTTAGCTAGGTATGTTTTGTTTTTCTATCTTCTCTTCACCAAACAAATCTTTTTCCATCTTCCACTTTCCCTTGAATTCAATTGATGGGTGTTTTAAAAATCAAAACCTAACAAACATCAGCAGCACTATCCCACAGCACTTATGGTGTAGTCATCCAATTGTAGACTGCATTTTACACATGCTTCTCTGCATATATTCCCACCTCCATACTGGTGTGCTTTGGCAGTGGATGCTGACAAAAAAGTCCTGAATTAACTTATTCACTGGCTTGTTTTCTGTTCTGAGCTTAGATAAGGTTTCTTCTTGAGCTGAAATCTTCCTGGAGAGAGTGGGTAAAAGCAGAAGTTTCTTATCTACCCCAGATTCACAGGATATTCCCAACTGTACTCATCACTTTTATTTTTTATATTATATACAACCTCACTTCATTCATTTCATTTATACCAGTTGGATTTTGGGTTCATAATTTAAATCTTTTATTTATAATTTATTTATTAATTTATTGGGTGACATTGGTTAATAAAAATTATATAGGTTTCAGGTGTACAATTCTATAATACATCATCTATATATTGTACTACAGGCCTGGTGCCATGCATCGGTGGGGTCCCTCAGCCTGGCCTGTGCCCTCTTGCAATCTGGGACCCCTTTGGGGGATGTCGGAGAGCTGGTTTCGGTCTGATCCCCACAGGCCAGGCCGAGGGACCTTCGTGCACTGGGCCTCTAGTATGCATATAAGATCTTTGGTTAATCTCTTCCCGCCTTCCCTCCTCCTTGAGATTTATAAGTCTGTTCCATGTTTCCATGCCTGTGGTTTCCGCTCCTGTGTTGAGCGTCTGCCTCCTGGTGGTCAGTGCATGTTATAGCTACCGGCCGGTTGGCCAGTCACTTAGGCTTTTTATTTATACACACACACACACACACACACACACACACACGCACACACGCACACACGCACACACACACACATACACCCAGTGCACGAAATTTGTGCACTGATAGGGTCCCTAGCAGCTGCTGGCTGGGGCTTCCCTTCCCTCAGCTGCCTGCCACTGCCACCGGCCAGGGCCTCCCTTTGTACCCACCTTGGTCTGGCACCGCCCGCTCATCTGCTCTACCATCCCATTGCAGTCCTGCTCTCGTTGGGGCCCATCGGGGCCGGCAGTGACTCCACTGCCACCTGCTGCCAGCGCCCCCTGGTGGTCAGCGCACATCTAACTCCTGGTTGGTCGAACTCCTGCCCGTGGGAACAATGTGCATATTAGCCTTTTATTATATAGGATTGTATGTTCACCACCCAAAGTCAAGTCTCCTTCTGTTTATTCACTTCTACCTCCCCCTCCATAATTTAAATCTTTTAAATATCTTTTAAATGTCAGCCAATGCATCTTGCCTAGTATCTGTAGCCTGGTCATGTTGGAGATTAAGACCTGCTCTGGAAGATAAGATGTTTTTCCTACTTATGCTCACTTTTAGCCAGGCCAGTGACTCTTTTTTCAAATTGTATAGTGAGGTTTTGCCTGAAGGATGAGTTAAGTCATTAAGAAGCCAGATCAGAATCAAGGGGCCCAGGGAACTGATACATTCTAAGGCTAGCCTGGTTTTTATAAATAACCACCAAAAGCAGCTCCTTCCATATCCCAGAAACAGGATCATTTTCTCTAGGCCATTCAGCCCAGCTCACTGCTCCAGAGATGCATTCTCCTTCAGAATCATCCTGAACAATGGGGAACAGATACTGATTATTTCAATGGCATCTTGGACATTTTGCTAAAAGCTTCTGCCAGGTTTTGAAGCGGCCTGTTAAGGAGAGTGGATTTAATTCTCAGAATAAAAGCCTTTCAGTATCTCTTTCCTGGTCTTCTCACCCTCTCATCTTACTATCTCCAGGATCTTAACCTGTTCCCTTCTTTTCCTTCTATCAGTAATTCAGGAATTGGATGAGTCTCTGTGGTTTGTTTTGCCCTGAAGAGCAGAAGGCTTCGGTCCCAGCTGGTGTTGCCAAAGCAGCATACTAATTCCATGCCGTGGTCCTGGGTCAAGATCTGCACAATCTGACTGGCCATATCACCTCGGATGGCAAGGGAATGGAAGTGGTCAAAATCATGGAGGCCCAACTTTCGAAGACGCCTTGCAGCTGCCCGATAACATTTCCAGGGCTGTGGCTCCACAAGGAGGTAGTGGCAGAGGGAGGAGAGGTGAGCCAGAAACTCCCATAGGCCATGGTCCCCATGGTTCAGATGAATCCACATGGTTATGGACATGCAGAAGCCAATGTCAAACACTGAGCGTCCAAACTGGCCTAAGAAAGAGCTCAAGAGAACTTTCTGGCTCCTTTGATTCATGAAGTCCAGGGTAATAAAAGTCAAGGCATCAGGAAAAGGGCATTCTTTTTTAGCTCGCTCCACCAGGACTGGATCTATGTCGCAGCAGAGGAGACGGAGTTCTCTTGAGGCATCTGAGTGGGTCTCCCCATCACGTAGGAAAAGGAAGTGTTTGTACAGAGCCACACTTAGATCCTAGAGGAATCCAAAAGAGCTTTGTCATTGCAGCTTTCAACCAGTGAACAGAAGAGAAACTTACCTTTTTTATTTATTGTTGACAGTATTACAGATACCTAAACTCTTATCTTTTTAATATTTCCCCCATCACCATTTATCCCTCCATACCCTCTGCTACCCCTTCCTCCCCCCACAATTGCCACACTTGTCCATGAGTTCTTTCTCTTTTTGAAATTTTGTCCTCTTATCTCTTGAGACTGCCACCTACTCCTGGTTTTAGAGCAGCAGTTCTCAACCTGTGGGTCGAGACCCCTTTGGGGGTCGAACAACCCTTTCACAGGGGTCGCCTAAGCCCATCGGAAAACACATATATAATTACATATTGTTTTTGTGATTAATCACTATGCTTTAATTATGTTCAATTTGTAACAATGAAAATACATCCTGCGTATCAGATATTTACATTACGATTCATAACAGTAGCAAAATTACAGTTATGAAGTAGCAACGAAAATAATTTTATGGTTGGGGGTCACCACCACATGAGGAACTGTATTAAAGGGTCGCAGCATTAGGAAGGTTGAGAACCACTGCTTTAGAGGGTGTGAGTAGCCTAAGGAGGTTGTCTGTAGTTTTCCACAAAGCATACTCTGAGCGCCATCCAGGGGTGAGAGGCTGTAATGAATCATCTGTATGCTTTCCTGACTGAACGCAGATTGGATAGTATGATTGAAAGTTACAGCATAATAGATGCAGGAAAAAATAGAGCAGTATTTTCCAGCTTAATATGCTGGTAAACTCCCGATCTTTTTGTTTTATTTTCTTTTGGGTATCTCAGACTTCAGGGAGGAGGAAAGGGCTCCAGGGGCATCACTGATGTTCTTACCAGGAAGATGAGGAATAGAGCAAACACCATCTTATAAAAACCTGCTTCTCAAACCTGTGATTAGGAAAGTGGATCCCAAAAGTCCTCATCTAGCCTTCACTCTATAGTTTCAATTTCACTACCGGTCCTATGCTTCACCACCTCTTCTGAGATTTATTCTGCTTCTGCCTCCATCACTCCCAAAAGTCATTGCTGACCTCCTTCTTCAGTGATTGTTGATTTTCACCATCTTAGAACTTTTTTTTTTTTTACTCTTAAACAAGTCACTATCCCTTTCTCTAACTTTGACTTCTATAGCCATTATTACTAACAAATGTGTTGTTCTATACATTTTTTTCAAGGCATTTTCCTATTTATGACCTCATTTGCTCTATGCAACAATCCTGTGAGGAAATATTTATGCCTTTTGTGCAAGTGAAGAAAGCATGGCTGGAAACAAACCAGATGTCTTATAATAGTACATGGATAAAAAAATGTGATGTAGTCATTAAGATGGAATACTAAGTAGCAGTTGAAAATGAAGGAATTTAGCTAAGTGCAACAATATGAATGACTCTCACAAATATATAATACTGAGTAAAAGAGCAAGGCATAGAATAAAATACACGATAAGCTCCCATTTATTTGAAGTTTAAAAATGGGTAAAATTAAACTTCATTGTTTAGGGACACAAAAATAGTGAGCTATAAAGAAACAATAAAAGCCAGACTAGTTTTTACCTCTGGGTAGAGAGAGGGGGTTATGAATAGGAAAAGACATATTGGGGGACTTGTGGGCTACTGAAAATATTTTATTCTTGTTCTGGAAAGTAGTCATAAAGGTGTTTGCTTTATAATAATTCATAAGTGTAGATTTATGTCTTATGCACTTTTCTCTATGTGTGGTATAGTTCACAAAAACACACACAAAACACCTGTATTTTAAAAATTATGGTTCAGAGGCTAGTGACTTTACTTGTCCAATGTCACACAGCAAATTAGGCTACATTAGATTCTTTCTTCTACCAGGCTTCTCACTCTTCAATGTGCATACACATCACTTAGGGATCTTGTTAAAATATAAACTGGGTTAGCAAACTGGGATTGGGGCTGAGATTATTTCTAATAAGCTTCTAAGTCATGCTGATGCTGTAGTTCAAGGAACACACTTTGAGTAGGAAGGTTCTATCTTATGCTACTTGATTTCCTCCCCATCTATTTACTTCTTCCCTGTCTCCCTCCTCCTATCTGATCTTGGGTGTGCCCCATGTTTGACCAGTCATTTTGTCACGTCAGTCCCTCCTCCACCATATCTCTTCATTCTCTCCATCCTCGATTCCCCAGTCCTAGAGTCCCCTGGAAGTTTAAAAAAGAAAATACAGCCCTGGCTGGTTTGGCTCAGTGGATAGAGTGTCAGCCTGCGGACTGAAGGGTCCCAGGTTTGATTCCGGTCAAGGGCATGTACCTTGGTTGCGGGCACATGCCCAATAGGGGGTGTGCAGGAGGCAGCAGATTGATGTTTCTCACTCATCGATGTTTCTGACTCTCTATCCCTCTCACTTCCTCTCTGTAAAAAACCAATAAAATATATATTAAAAAAGAAAAAAAAAGAAAATACAGACTCAAGGGCTTAATATCCCGAGATCCTGACTCAGTAGATTTAGAGTGGGGGCTAGAAGTTTTAAAATTTAAACAAAGCACCCCATAAATTATGGCACATCTGCACAATAAAATATGAAGCTGCCGAAAAGAATGAAGTGACATATGATTGACCTTCAAATTATTAAATGAAAAGCGAGGTGCAATACAACATACAGATGATGTATTATAGAATTGTACATCTGAATCCTATATAATTTTATTAACCAATGTTACCCCAATCAATTCAATAAAAAAGAAAAAAAAACAAGGTGCAAATTAGTGTCTATTATTTGTAACTCTAAAAGAGAGAAGATATTTATACTTGTATACACATAGGATGTATTCCCAAGAAATTATAGCAGTTGCCACTGTTTAGGGGAAAAGGAGGATTTAAGGTCAGTAGAGACTTGCTCCCTAAACGTACAACCAGGTTTGGGAACTCCTACCCCCCTTAACTGCAACTATGTCCTTGCCTGTAATGTGTACATACGCACCTGTCAACTTTAAAATCCCCCGTGGCTTACCAAAGCCTTTCATGAAACCCCAAGCCTTAAACCGAGTCTCTTTTCCATTGCTTTCCCCCTGTGACTTCCTGTATCATCACAGTGGAGAAATATTTGCAGGGGACACACGGCCACCCATTTGCTCATTCCAGCTTTGAGTCTGTATCCAAATGGCCCCCTCTCCTTTACCAGTTGTGTCTCTATAGCCTTCAACCTTCCACCAAAATCTCTTCTTGACGACGACCAGCAACACAATAAAATTCTCCCCACCCTCTCCCACTCCTGGAGGTGGAGTGAGGGCATTAACTTTTTGAAGCATTTGGTGTCAGAGAGACACTTCGCTATTTTGCATGTGGTTTAACTATAACCATTATACACCGAAGAATACGTTTCGGTAAGAAAACGTGGCGATGCCTGCCTTCAGGAGGATGCTGTATTTTTGCTTCTCGATCCTCCAGTCTACACTGTACTCTGTAAACCCAGTGCTTCTAACATAAATATCAACTTGACTCCAGGTTCCGTTCTGCACCGCAAGGCGCACGAATCTTAGATCCAGGCACGATTCTGTCACCCCTGGCTCATCTCTCCCGGTAAACCAATCCCAACCCCACGCTTCCAAAGGG